AAATTATAAAGAAAATCTAATGACTAGATTTTCTGCAAATGAACAAAACCGATTTTAAAGGCCTGTTTATGTCTATCCATGTTGCCATGGCAACGGCGCATACGTCAGCTTAACAATAAGAAAGAACAAAGTTTGTGTTGCTAACTTGCTTGCTGCTATTTTTGGCGACCGAGGGATCAAGGGTTTTAGAGAAAAAGGTGAATGAAACGCAGGTATCAAAAACTGTGTTCAGCCACCTTAATTGGGTCAAACGCCGAACTTCACATGAGCCTAATTGGTTGAGTTGGGTTCGGCTCATTTGAAGTATGGCATTTGACTCCGGCCTTAGTTTTGCTTTGGATTGAAAATGATTCGAATAACAGCTTTTTGCGACCGAAATTGTTGCAATAATGTTCGTCGCCACTGTGTCAACTGTCGCTAAAATATTCGATTGCAGAATTGTTTATAGTTTTGCTGTCATTTTACCGTGCAATCAGTCGACCTTATCGCCTGAAGAAGACTAGCAGTAAGCAGTCGAAACGTCGCGATCTACATCTCAAGTGACTACATCGTGAGACAAACGATAATACACTTTATTAATACAATAATTATCGGTTGCGTGTGTTAAATTTACGAAATGCTCGCTGCTCGTCATCAGGTATTTTCTGAAGTGCTCGCTTCTCGCAAGGCAAATTTGATCACTGCTCGTGCTCGCAAAAGTAAACGCACTGCTCGCATGCTCGCAAATGCGCGCAAAAAAACCATTTAAAACTCACTTGTAAATCGCCTTACCGAAACTTTGAAAAACCTCATGCGTGCGCGCCTCTCCCCCCTCCCCCAGTCCTTGTACGTCCGAGGGTTAATAGATATGATAATGTATGATATCCTATTTGAAAACTGTTGATCTGTACACTCCAAACATCGCATGAGCAACCACTAAGCAAGTGACAGTGGCCTTAATTACTGACAAGCACATAAGTGTTATCCCGTGGCGAAAGGGTTAAGTAGACGTCTCTGCTTGATTAGTCGACCCGCTGTTTGGGGTTGTCAGTTCAAACCTTTGTTTCTCTGATAGGGTCTGCAATTAGACGGCTAACTAAATTGCCTTCCGCTGAGGTACGACTTGTTCCACTCCGAGCTCTAGAGAACACATGCCAAAGAACTTTCCGGAACTTGTCATTTAACATGATGTAAAGCCATGGATTTACTGCGCTGTTAGCGTGACCAGACCAAAAGCAAAGGAACATTACATACGGAGGACTGGCAAGATGAATATCTGGACGAAATGCCAAAATGAGATGGTAACAGTGCGCTGGGAACCAGCAAAGTGCAAAGGCAGCGGTAATTATGGCAAGCATGCGCACAACTATCAGTTTTGTCTTTTTGTTTCGTTTTTCGGTCTCTGTTGACACCACACCAGGAACATTTCTTCGCCAAAGCGCGCGGCCAACCAGAACATAGAGCGATGAAATCGCGAAAAGTGGAATCAGGTACATGAGGAGAACCAGGTAGACGTAATATCCCTTCATACCGAATGTTCCAAGCCGCTCAAACTGCGGGGAACAAGTAAATATATCCAATGGCTTGTACTCCACAAGCCGCCATACAAAAGCGATAGGAACAGAAAACACCATTGAGCTTAACCAAACTACGACGGCGAGGACTTTTGGGCGGCGAAATCTTGGAAAACGACGGAGAGGAAAAATCACCGCCAAATACCGGTCCACTGACATCAGGGAGAGACTCAAGATGGATGCCGCCAGAGTGACGTAAAAGATGAAGTACACCAGAGTGCACGTGATGTGACCTAGAATTCCCGGCAGCCATTTCCCACCGGAATAAACCCATTCTATCGACACGGGCATGACGAACGATGTCACCAGGAGATCAGCGACGGCCATGTTGACAAACAGAAATCCAGTTATTGACCTCGTGTCAGGCCTCCTCTTTATGATGAAAATCAGGAGGAAATTTCCAGTGACGGCCGCGGCCATTGTTATGCAGTACAACACAGTGTAGCCGGCGGCTTGTAGACTGCTAGGGAATTGTTCTGTTAAGGAAATAAATAAATTAAGAAGATTGTCTAGTAATTTGCCGCGAACTGGTGTTTTGAGTGCATGTCAGAGTTTCCCCCAAAACGATTCTTCATAGGTTTCCTAGGGCTCTGTACACCGGGGGGGATCCCATGCTTAAAAGGACGGGGGTGCTCGTCAAAAATTTTGGAAAGCCTCAAGAGGTACTAAGATCCTGTTATGTGGGCTTGGCTTGATTTTTTTTTTTTTTTTTTTTTTTCCCACCCCCAAGAGGTATCAATTCTAAAACAACACCTTAATTGAATTTGCACTCTATTACTGATGAGTTGTGAATTCCCGGTGTAAGTGTGACAAAATTTGAAAAAAGTTGATTGCCAAATATCCCCTGTCATATTTCTTTTTCGGCTTAATATCCTTAAAGGTACCCCTAAAGCTCTCGCTGTCAAAGTTTTGAGTCTGAACACGCTAAGAAGTAGTAAAACCGCTTTTTTAAACGCCTAAATAGCCTGCGAACATGTTCCCAGTGAAGATGGAAAAAACATTGGCGACCGAACCTAGCCGACGAGCGCGAAACGGAAGAATTCGGAGAGCGAGGCGATCAGGGCGTTCACGCTCGCCGGGAGCTTGTTTTCAGGTCTACGCCTAAAAGGTAGGCACCCCCGTCCTGTTTGTATGGGATCAACCCCCCCCCCTCCTTCCAACTCCTGGTCTGTACAACGGCTACCCTGGCAGAGATTTAAGTGTCCGTTGTAAATTACTGACCCCTGTATATTGGTGAAAATTGTTGGGAGGTCTCAAGAAAGGTGAAGTTTACGAGTCGATCCACGATTATGGCGAGAAGCCTTTCGTGGAAGTGGCATTTGGTAGAAGTTGCGTTTATTCGTTTGTTCTCCTCAATGTATTTGTCCTAAATCGCATTTGGTATAAAAGGAGGACGGTCTGAGATCGAGAGATTATTGTGGCTTAAAAAAGATTAATCCACTAATATCAATTATACACGGCAGAACATGCTATTTAAGCAAGAGCCATCACTCTTAGCGTGATTTATAGCAAACGTCAGTGACGTAACCTATTGTTATGAATATGCAAACCAGAGAACTACTGGCTGGTGAAACAAAGGATTATTTTGTTTCATGTTATGAATAGCAAAAACAATGTTTGTACACAAATATCTTCCCTATAGCTCTTCACGCAAACCTGCGCACCAAATCTCTCTAATCCGGGCCGAAGAGTGACGACGATGAACGAAGAGCTTTCACAGATCACCAAACTGCAGTTTTGTGTCAGAAATCTGGGCGTTGATGTGCATTAGAGTTCCCTTCTAAGCAAATGTAATATACCGATATGTCAACTTGTTGGTCCAAATGAAGTTAATTTGGTATAAACAGGGTGTAATCAAACGATTACGATACCACTGGATAGAACGTGAAAATGATTGGGTTTCCTTTGAAAGACCAGCGCAAAATAATATGCGATAGATAAGGTGTGCTATGGTATAAACTGCCCAGATGCGGGCGTAAACGGGGTAGGGCCGGGTGTAGGGAGGCAAAAAGACAGTCCCCCTCCACCCATCCGCGCTCTGCCCCCCCCCCCTCCCCCCGCTACGCAGGCTACAATGTTTGCGATGATCGACAATTATTCGTTAACTGATCTGGGTACGTGTGCGGTAAAAGGTCACCACCTTACCTTGATATGATTAACAAGGGATTAACAGTGTCTGTTTTTCGTTGTTTTTATTTTATTTGTTTTAATTTTTGTTAACTTTTTTCTCATTCTTATGAATGGAAGCAGGTTGTACGAAGTAATTATTTCTAATGATAAACAAGAATCTAAACAAAATGCTAATTAACACGTGTTGATTTAACATCCTGGACTGTATATTTCAACACCGCATTGCCACGTTTTATGTTCCCATACCAATGTCAATAGTATTACTGTATTACTATATGCATCGAAACGTCAAATCGCATATATATTTCACTTTTTTTAACTAAAAAAAAAAACAGTCTCAACAAATATTCTTTCAATAGTGCATTTGTGATTTCCACGACTTCTATTTCCATTTTTCTGAACGAAAATTAGCATCCTGTCTTAAACGTGTACTAAATTAACGATCTTAACAACAGCTTTGACTCTTTGCTGTATTGCTGTGGACCCTTCGTGTTCACCGTTTTCCTCACAGATTGATTTTCGTACACCAGATATCATACAATTCAACAATATTGTTTCTGTGGTCATAAATGAATTGTTTCCTTTGTGTAATTTGTTTTACGCATAATTTCCTTCATTACAGCTGTCATGGTCTTTCATTCGTATCCAGTGAGCAATATTTTATAAGCAAGATGCGTGCACGCGATCACCCGTAATGATAATCAAGTTCTGAACTCTCAAAACTTATTCAGCTATTTGGAGACAGTTAACACGATTTATCAGATCTGATATAGCAAAATATTGCTTACAATAACTCACTTATTACTGCTATTACTTTATACTAGATATACATTTCACAGGACTTACCTTCAGACGAATTCATATCCAAATGTTGTGTACTCTTAATGTCAATATCAAACAAGAACACTTGCCGTGACTATGAAAAGACGTCGTTTGGTCTAACTTGAGGACCTGTGTATCGTTTAGTGCAAAAGTTGTTGGGTCAAAATTAAAGGAAGTATCGATGCCAAACCATATCTTTGCAATAACCACAGTACACCTCAATACACTCGCTCAATCCTCTTCATGCCCTTGGGGAAGTAACACAACTCGATAGAAATTTGAGACTTTACCCTGTGTCACGTGGCAGGGGGGGTTGCGTAGGTGGAACGTTGCTATGCTGTAACCCCGCGCACGCCGACGTATTTCCGGCTGTCGATCGTCTCCACCGAGAAGAAGCCTGCAACAAGAGCCGAAATAATATGATGCTCTCGCAGCCTGTTGCTATGCCGCTATACATATCATAGTTGTTTATGTAAACGCGATTCGCCTCTCCTTGCTCGCGGTTTAAAGCGATGCCCGGGGGGGAGGCACTGCCATATATGGGCCATATAGGTATGTGCCGCTGTGAAGGGTATGGTTTTCAAGCAGTTTACTCTAGGATAGGGTATATAAATCAGAGCGTTTGGGTCTAGAATAGTAGAATAGGGTATCATTTTTCACAAAACTGACTAGTTGGTTTAAGATTTTATCTAGACTAACGAAACCACGAATTGCCACTCAAAAATATAAAAAAAAAAAAACAAATCAGCAAGTTTAAATTTACGCAAATCAGCCTCAACAGTGTCGATAGATGGGGGGATTTGGGGAGTTTACTCTAGTATAGGGTAGCAAAATTCAGCTGAACTACGCTCTGGTATAGGCTAAGGGTTCCAAGGTCCCAGCGGCACATCGTCACCCAGAAATTCCCAAAGTACCTCCCCCGGGACGCGATGAAAGCTGTTGAGCAACCCCTAACTTCAGATGACGTATAAGTCGTATAAGTAAGGACAGGAATAACAGTATTTAGAGGTACATAAGAGAACTTAATTATAAGCTAAGGGAACTTCTTCTATAACTAGACGAAATGCTGGTTCATCACCAACCTTTGTTCTCAGCGCTCTCTCCTTGAAATAGGCAAATAGGCCATATAATTTTTCACGTTGTTATTATAAGATAGTTTTGTGCTGGTATGTAGATTCGTTGATATACAGGTTACGTAATTATGCTAAGAAGTTAATATTTAAGGGGTTTGCTCGTTAGGAGTTGTCACTTCGACGGCATCTCCGCTTTTGATCAGTTCATTTTGGAAATTTTGTTTTAGTAAATTTCGTGCTATGCCTGATCCACCGCCGGAGACTGCATCATCCCAGCTTCAGTCGATAGACGTTTCCCTCCTTGATGCGAAGTTGCAGAAAACGTTTGGTGATTTCAAGCGCTCATTAGACGAACGCGAGGTTGAGACTCGGCGAGAACTGAAGAAATTGACCTCGAGAAACGCATTAAGTTGATCCGCTTTGCTGACTAAAGTCCCGCTGGCTGGGCTGCAGTTGAGGAATATGAGTCCGACGAGCTCGCCGAAAATTCTGAAGAAACTTCGAGCGGCTGAGCGACCTGTGCTTACCAAGATTAAACAGAAGTCTTCCAAACCTCGTGTTTCAAGGTTTTCAAGTGCTCTTAAATCCCGAGATTTTCAAGCTACACAAGGGTCTGGGTCTTCTGCTTCTCCTACGTCCATTCCTTTTTCTGCTGACTCTAATTTTCGTCAGTCCTTTCGTGCCGCCCGACAAGTCCAGCCTTCCGACGTCTGCTTTAACTGCAATCAGCGAGGACACTGAGCTAATTTGCCAGCCTGCCCTCTTTTCTACAAGACAAGAGGTAGTTTCACTAACACTGGCGCCAGTTCAACGTCCACAAAGTCAACCACCGTCTGATTTGGCAAATGTTCTTGCAAGATTGGGTCCAGATAAGTACTCTGACTTCAACTTTGACTTGGGTCACATTTCTCTTGATTCTAGCTTTACTGAATATTTTGAAGGCTGTAATCAGGTTATTGTTAAGGGTAGGCTTAAAGCGAACATTTCTTTTTGGCAAAGCATTGGTGCCTCTAAGTTTATTTTAGATACTTTAAGTTTTGGTTATAAGATCCACTTTTCACGGGAACCTACAAGTGTTTTTCTTACTAATAATAGCTCAGCTTTGGGCGAGAGTGATTTTCTAGAATCCGCTATTCAAGAGTTACCTAGTGTTGGCTCTATTGTTTCGTGTACTTGCCCACCTGACGTGGTTAATCCATTGTCTGTTTCTGTACAGTCAAGTGGTAAGAAGAGGCTCATATTAGACCTCAGGTATGTTAATTAATTTCTTTGTAAATAAGTCCAAAATTAAGTTTGAGGATTCCCAGTCCATGCTAAATTTTTTCATCGGCGAGTCACCTTCTACTTAATGGGCTTATTCTTTCGATATTAAGTCAGGGTATCATCGTGTTGAAATTTACCCCTCACATCAAAGATTTCTCGGGTTTTCGTGGGTTTTCAATGGGGTTCGAAAATATTTTAAGTTTGTCGTTCTGCCCTTTGGTCTTTCTACGGGCCCTTACATTTTCACCAAAGTTATGCGTCCCCTCGTCAAGCATTGGCGTAGTCAGGCTATCCGCATTGTAGTTTATTTAGACGATGGTTTAGGGGTATGCGGTTCGAAGGATACTTGCCTTCGACAATCTTTGTTGGTGCATTCTGATTTGATTAGCTCGGGGTTCGTTCCAAAGAAGGATAAATGTATGTGGATCGCTGTTCAGTCGCTTCGCTGGCTTGGTTTTCATTGGGATTTTGCCCGGGGTTCATTGTCTATTCCTGAAGATAAGATATCAGTTTTGCTTGCGTCCATTAGGGGGGTTTCTAGTTCTCGTATAGTTACTGCAAGGATGCTGGCTCAGGTTACCTGGTGTATCATTTCCTGTGGCTTGTTTTTGGTCATATTTGCAGAAGCACCGCATTCCGTTATTGACAGCAGAGCATATTGAAAGCCAGGGTTTTTCGTACTACTGAGGCTATTTCTGAGTTAAATGCTCGAGCACTTAATTCTAGACCTTTTGTCTATCTAGTTAATATCCCTCATCACATTGTATATTCGATTCCGACGCTAGTGAAGTTGCTTGCGCTTCTTATATTTATGTTGAGGTCGAGGGGTTTCCTGTTGCCCACAAGAATTTTGATGATCTTGAAACGAAGCAAAGCTCCACTTGGAGGGAATTGAAGTCTGTTAGTTTTGCGTTAAGAAGTTTTGCTCCCATTTTGCATAATTCCTCTGTTAAGCTTTATACTGATAATAAAGCCGTAGCGTTCATTACAGATTCTGGGAGCAACAAGCCGCATTTGAATGCTATTGCTAAGGGTATTTTCTGTTTTACCTCTGCTCATGGTATTAGGTTGTCAGTCGAATGGATTCCCCCGACGCTTAATCAGAAAGCTGATTATTACAGTAAGATCGTTGATTTTGACGACTGGACAAGTGTGTTTCCAACGATTATTTTCGTGAAATTGATTCTCGATGGGGTCCTTTCACCGTAGATTGTTTTGCTAGTTATGCAAACACCAAGTTTCCTAGGTTCTATTCGCGCTTTTACAGTCTTAACACTTTGGGTGTAGATGCTCTTAGTCATAGCTGAGAAGGTGAAACTGTTGGTTGGTCCCTACCGTTTGCCTTGTCACCCAAGTTATTGAGCATTCAAATTATGTAAGTGCTGAAGGAAGGTGAGTTATTGTGCATGGTGCTAATGAGAATTGTATTTTTGGTTCTGATAATTTTAGTTTGCTTGTCCTTTTCTTACGTGTTAATGGAGCCAGTTAAATTTAAGCCTTTAGTTTGTATTTTTCGCTTCGTCAGCTCTTGGAATTGAAGTGTTTGCCACTTGGCTTTGTGCGTTTATTTCTTTTGCCGCTGGGCATTTGTACACTTGCTTTATTTCTGGTTGCCACTGGGCTTTTTTCACGGCCACTAGTAGTAGTCCATGTTGAGATTTGTTACTTGCTGTATTCCCCACTGGACTATCTGCCTATACCTGAGATTATTTTTCTGTTTAGTTTTTCATTATTCAAAATCATTTTTCTATTTTTTTTTTCTCTGCACAAGGTGATGTTGTTTTTGCGCGGACTAGCTCCACCCTACAGAATCCTGAGCTCCGTAGACTTGTCAGTTCGCTTCCGACTCGTGCATTGCAATCCAAGGCTCCACGCACCATTGATCAGTATTCTAGGTCTTTTCAGAAATTCAGAGTCTGGGTATCTTGCTTTCCCGAGATCACTGCTTTGCCTACAAGGCCGCTAGACGTCGCTCTTTACCTAGAGCATCCTATCGAAAGTGATACAAGTTCCTCCGTACTTCACAGTAATGCTTCCTGTGGTATTTCGTGGGCTAACAAGCTCTATGGTTTTCCTGATCCATGTCAAGATCCTCTGGTAAAGAACATTCTCGAGGCCGGTGTCCGGATTTGCGCTAAACCAGTGGTTAAAAAGGAGCCAGTTTCTCCTGAGATGGTTTCTTCAATATGTTCAAAGTATGCCTCGCCATCTGCTAACCTGTCTAGTCTCCGAATTGCAGCTTTATTTATTACCGCTTATTGTGCATTTTCACGCTTTGATGAGCTAGCTAAGTTGCGCTGTTGTGATGTAAATTTCCATAATTTAGATTACGTTAAGATTATTATTGCTGGGCAGTAAGACTGACGTGTATAGGGATGGTTCAGGGGCGGATCCAGGAATTTCTGAAAGGGGGGGGGGGG